ATAAGGAGAGTTAGTGTCTGGGATTCGACTTGTCTAGATGACAAATAAACGGATGGAAGAAACCAAACCAACGGGGAAATTAAGATGAAGAGAGTGAGTCGAACTCACGCCACGAGTCCTTGAGAACATGTCTTTGTACCACGATGTCTTCCGAGTGTTCTTCAGAGTCCCATGACGGTACCTCATTAATGGGGCTCATTCCGTCTATGTGTGTGGGTGGGTGGGTTTGTGAGTGTGCGTATGCCAAGCTGTGTCGGAAGCAGTGGGGCGCCTGTGGAAATACTGTCATACCGTCGAATTTGTTTTAAAGAAAAGAAGCTGGTAAAGCTAAGTGGGTTCAAGGCCAAACCTCAGCACTGAATACGGGTCAAATCTTATGCTCGTAATCAACACTTACTTCTAAAGTGTGTAATCTAAGGCCGAACTTTAGGTGGGAGAAAGAGAAGTCGAAAGTTACAAGGGTGATGTATATCGACGGACTCCACAACAGCAATATGGCGACTTCTTCTCCCAACACGACGTTTCTTCTGATGGAGGCGGCATTGACGTCGACCGCTCCGGAAATCATCCTAAACGATCACCACCGCCACTACAACCACCGCCATCAACACCAACGCCTTCTGGACATTCCCACGTCTTGGAGAGATGCGATCGCCATCCCCACCACCACAAGTTCTTTCGATCTCAGAGACCCAGAGACCTACGACGTAGCCTTCAGCTCGAACTCTGACGAAGTCTTCCAGCAACCGAAGCAGCAGTACACCGAAGACCTAGAGCACAACTACTTCGACTGGGAATCTAACATCACCAACCACACCAACATGACGGGAGAGATTGACGAAGACCTCACGCACATTAACATGACACCTCTCATTGCTTACTCCCTCCTGTTTCCCTTTGCCGCCATCGGCAACCTAATGGTATTCGTGGCACTCTTTCGCAACCGTCACCGCAAATCCCGCGTTAACATGATGATCATGCACCTCTCCCTGGCTGACATGATCGTCACCTTCGTTTTCCTGCCCACCGAGATCACTTGGCACGTCACCATCGAGTGGGTCTTCGGTAACTTCGGCTGCAAAGTCTACAAGTTCTTCTCTGCCTTCGGCTTCTACATGTCCTCGATGGTCCTGGTGTGCATCAGTCTGGATCGCTACTTCGCTGTACTGCACCCGCTCAGAGTCAACGATGCTCAGAGAAGGGGCAAAATTATGCTGTTCTTCGCCTGGCTAATATCAGCTGTCATCTCTCTACCCCAGGTATGATTGCTGTGCTACCTTTTTCTCTTCAGGCATGATTGATGTGCTACCTCTTCTTCAGGCATGATTGCTGCGGTACTTCAGGTATGATTGATGTAGCGCCTCTTCTTTCTCAGGCAGGAATGACGAAATATGGGTAAAGAGGGAAGAGGAGGAAGAATATGCTAAGTAATGCTGAAGGAGAGAGAAAAAATGTGACAGTGAGGGGTAAGGAGGAGAGGGAAGGGGAGAAGATAGGAAAGGAAGTTGCAGTCTGAGAGAGAGAGAGAGAGAGAGAGAGAGAGAGAGAGAGAGAGAGAGAGAGAGAGAGATACAGACAGCTAAAGACAGACATAGACACAGACAAGCTGGACCAGCGGAACATTTCACCACAGACACAAATCAAAAGAATCACAAAACAAATCAATGTGAAAATCACGTTTAAATTTATTCCAAATACATAGACAAGTAGACAGACTTTTGTTTATAAAACAAAATAAATAATATTTTTTTTACTTACGAAATGAATGAAGAGACAAAGTTATTAAGAATTTTATGAAGATTAGAAAATAAGAATATTGTCCACTGAGAGGATGAACCTCGTCATGGTGTAGATAATTACTCTGCCTGTCTGCTGTCTTTATCTCTGCCTGTCTGCTGTCTTTATCTCTGCCTGTCTGCTGTCTTTATCTCTGCCTGTCTGCTGTCTTTATCTCTGCCTGTCTGCTGTCTTTATCTCTGCCTGTCTGCTGTCTTTATCTCTGCCTGTCTGCTGTCTTTATCTCTGCCTGTCTGCTGTCTTTATCTCTGCCTGTCTGCTGTCTTTATCTCTGCCTGTCTACTGTCTTTATCTCTGCCTGTCTGCTGTCTTTATCTCTGCCTGTCTGCTGTCTTTATCTCTGCCTGTCTACTGCCTTATCTCTGCCTGTCTGCTGTCTTTATCTCTGCCTGTCTGCTGTCTTTATCTCTGCCTGTCTACTGTCTTTATCTCTGCCTGTCTGCTGTCTTTATCTCTGCCTGTCTGCTGTCTTTATCTCTGCCTGTCTGCTGTCTTTATCTCTGCCTGTCTGCTGTCTTTATCTCTGCCTGTCTGCTGTCTTTATCTCTGCCTGTCTGCTGTCTTTATCTCTGCCTGTCTGCTGTCTTTATCTCTGCCTGTCTGCTGTCTTTATCTCTGCCTGTCTGCTGTCTTTATCTCTGCCTGTCTGCTGTCTTCATCTCTGCCTGTCTGCTGTCTTTATCTCTGCCTGTTTGCTGTCTTTATCTCTGCCTGTCTGCTGTCTTTATCTCTGCCTGTCTGCTGTCTTTATCTCTGCCTGTCTGCTGTCTTTATCTCTACCTGTCTGCTGTCTTTATCTCTGCCTGTCTGCTGTCTATCTCTGCCTGTCTGCTGTCTTTATCTCTGCCTGTCTGCTGTCTTTATCTCTGCCTGTCTGCTGTCTTTATCTCTGCCTGTCTGCTGTCTTTATATCTGCCTGTCTGCTGTCTTTATCTCTGCCTGTCTACTGTCTTTATCTCTGACTGTCTGCTGTCTTTATCTCTGCCTGTCTGCTGTCTTTATCTCTGCCTGTCTGCTGTCTTTATCTCTGCCTGTCTGCTGTCTTTATCTCTGCCTGTCTGCTGTCTTTATCTCTGCCTGTCTGCTGTCTTTATCTCTGCCTGTCTGCTGTCTTTATCTCTGCCTGTCTGCTGTCTTTATCTCTGCCTGTCTGCTGTCTTTATCTCTGCCTGTCTGCTGTCTTTATCTCTGCCTGTCTACTGTCTTTATCTCTGCCTGTCTACTATCTTTATCTCTGCCTGTCTACTGTCTTTATCTCTGCCTATCTACTGTCTTGATCTCTGCCTGTCTACTGTCTTTATCTCTGCCTGTCTACTATCTTTATCTCTGCCTGTCTACTGTCTTTATCTCTGCCTATCTACTGTCTTTATCTTTGCCTGTCTACTGTCTTTATCTCTCCCTGTCTATTGTCTTTATCTCTGCCTGTCTACTGTCTTTATCTCTGCTTGTCTACTGTCTTTATCTCTGCCTGTCTACTGTCTTTATCTCTGTATGTCTACTGTCTTTATCTCTGCCTGTCTACTGTCTTTATCTCTGCCTGTCTACTGTCTTTATCTCTGCCTATCTACTGTCTTTATCTCTGCCTGTCTACTGTCTTTATCTCTGCCTGTCTACTATCTTTATCTCTGCCTGTCTACTGTCTTTATATCTCTGCCTATCTACTGTCTTTATCTCTGCCTGTCTACTGTCTTTATCTCTGCCTGTCTACTGTCTTTATCTCTGCCTGTCTACTGTCTTTATCTCTGCGTATCTACTGTCTTTATCTCTGCCTGTCTACTGTCTTTATCTCTGCCTGTCTACCGTCTTTATCTCTGCCTGTCTACTGTCTTTATCTCTGCCTATCTACTGTCTTTATCTCTTCCTGTCTACTGTCTTTATCTCTGCCTGTCTACTGTCTTTATCTCTGCCTGTCTACTTTCTTTATCTCTGCCTATCTACTGTCTTTATCTCTGCCTGTCTACTGTCTTTATCTCTGCCTGTCTACTGTCTTTATCTCTGCCTGTCTACTGTCTTTATCTATGCCTGTCTACTGTCTTTATCTCTGCCTGTCTACTGTCTTTATCTCTGCCTGTCTACTGTCTTTATCTCTGCCTGTCTACTGTCTTTATCTCTGCCTGTCTACTGTCTTTATCTCTGCCTGTCTACTGTCTTTATCTCTGTATGTCTACTGTCTTTATATCTGCCTGTCTACTGTCTTTATATCTGCCTGTCTACTGTCTTTATCTCTGCCTATCTACTGTCTTTATCTCTGCCTGTCTACTGTCTTTATCTCTGCCTGTCTACTATCTTTATCTCTGCCTGTCTACTGTCTTTATCTCTGCCTATCTACTGTCTTTATCTCTGCCTGTCTACTGTCTTTATCTCTGCCTGTCTACTGTCTTTATCTCTGCCTGTCTACTGTCTTTATCTCTGCGTATCTACTGTCTTTATCTCTGCCTGTCTACTGTCTTTATCTCTGCCTGTCTACTGTCTTTATCTCTGCCTGTCTACTGTCTTTATCTCTGCCTATCTACTGTCTTTATCTCTTCCTGTCTACTGTCTTTATCTCTGCCTGTCTACTGTCTTTATCTCTGTCTGTCTACTGTCTTTATCTCTGCCTGTCTACTGTCTTTATCTCTGCCTGTCTACTGTCTTTATCTCTGCCTGTCTACTGTCTTTATCTCTGCCTATCTACTGTCTTTATCTCTGCCTGTCTACTGTCTTTATCTCTGCCTATCTACTGTCTTTATCTCTGCCTGTCTACTGTCTTTATCTCTGCCTGTCTACTGTCTTTATCTCTGCCTGTCTACTGTCTTTATCTCTGCCTGTCTACTGTCTTTATCTGTGCCTGTCTACTGTCTTTATCTCTATCTGTCTACTGTCTTTATCTCTGCCTATCTACTGTATTTATCTCTGCCTGTCTACTGTCTTTATCTCTGCCTGTCTACTGTCTTTATCTCTGCCTGTCTACTGTCTTTATCTCTGCCTGTCTACTGTCTTTATCTCTGCCTGTCTACTGACTTTATCTCTGCCTATCTACTGTCTTTATCTCTGTCTGTGTACTGTCTTTATCTCTGCCTGTCTACTGTCTTTATCTCTGCCTGTCTACTGTCTTTATCTCTGCCTGTCTACTGTCTTTATCTCTGTCTATCTACTGTCTTTATCTCTGCCTATCTACTGTCTTTATCTCTGTCTGTCTACTGTCTTTATCTCTGCCTGTCTACTGTCTTTATCTCTGCCTATCTACTGTCTTTATCTCTGTCTGTCTACTGTCTTTATCTCTGCCTGTCTACTGTCTTTATCTCTGCCTGTCTACCTTCTTTATCTCTGCCTGTCTACTGTCTTCATCTCTGCCTGTCTACTGTCTTTATCTCTGCCTGTCTACTGTCTTCATCTCTGCCTGTCTACTGTCTTTATCTCTGCCTGTCTACTGTCTTCATCTCTGCCTGTCTACTGTCTTTATCTCTGCCTGTCTACTGCCTTCATCTCTGCCTGTCTACTGTCTTTATCTCTGCCTGTCTACTGTCTTTATCTCTGCCTGTCTACTGTCTTCATCTCTGCCTGTCTACTGTCTTTATTTCTGCCTGTCTACTGTCTTCATCTCTGCCTGTCTACTGTCTTCATCTCTGCCTGTCTACTGTCTTCATCTCTGCCTGTCTGTCTTCATCTCTGCCTGTCTGCTGTCTTCATCTCTGCCTGTCTGCTGTCTTCATCTCTGCCTGTCTACTGTCTTCATCTGTGCCTGTCTACTGTCTTCATCTCTGCCTGTCTACTGTCTTCATCTCTGCCTGTCTACTGTCTTTATCTTTGCCTGTCTACTGTCTTCATCTCTGCCTGTCTACTGTCTTCATCTCTGCCTGTCTGTCTTCATCTCTGCCTGTCTGTCTTCATCTCTGCCTGTCTGCTGTCTTCATCTCTGCCTGTCTGCTGTCTTCATCTCTGCCTGTCTACTGTCTTCATCTGTGCCTGTCTACTGTCTTCATCTCTGCCTGTCTGTCTTCATCTCTGCCTGTCTGTCTTCATCTCTGCCTGTCTGCTGTCTTCATCTCTGCCTGTCTGCTGTCTTCGTCTCTGCCTGTCTACTGTCTTCATCTCTGCCTGTCTACTGTCTTCATCTCTTCCTGCCTACCGTCTCCAAGTCTTCCCGTCATGCTGTCTCCTTCTCTTTGTGTCTTCCTGTCTTTTGCCTCCAGGTCTTCCTGTCGACTCCTGTGTTTCCAGCTCTTCCTGTCGACTCCTGTGTTTCCAGCTCCTCTACAATCTCTGTTACTTTTCCCTCATTCTTCTCTGTCATCTCATTCGTAATTCCATTCCTCTTGTCTCCTCTCGTCCTCGTCTCTCTCCCCTTCTCCTCTTTATCTCCTCCTCTTCCCTGTTGTACTGTTATAGCATAGTTTAACCTCGCATTTATTGGCATTAGTGTTCACTAATCTATTTAGGGAAATTATATTTGATAATGAACCTGCTGGGAACGCCACGGGCG